GCTCATAATGTGACGGACGACCTCAAACGTAGAGGAATGCCGGAGGGACTGAGTACACAGTCTCAAGTAGATGAAGAGAGTGCAAGAGTTGGGACGCAGCTGTGGACTATTATGGTGAGGAAGGCTTGACGGTCCGAGCCCCGAGAGATATCGCTGATCATCCTCATCTGATAGACGGAGATGACGCAACCAGGAAAGGTAGTGGTTCCGGAAGTTGACGTGGCAGACGTAAAGCTGCTGGAAGCAAAGTACCAGATCTACATGGAAGCGATTGAGATCCAACGAAGGTGGAGGGCTGCAATGGAGAAAGCGGCGAGTTGAACGCATCATGGGATCATTTTCTTGCCGATTCGCTTGTAGATTCGGTTGGAATGCCGAGCTGGAAGTCGGCCTGGGGGGAGAATGCCACCACCATTTTTCCTCGTGCGGCCTCCCAGCCTTAGCTTCGAGCGCAGAGCAATCATGTCATGTAATCACAAAGTACAATCTAACCACAAATTTTAACTTTATTTTGAGATTGATAATAGAGGTTGAGACGTAAAGATTTGTACGAGAATGGGCCGGAAACGGTCTCTAAGAACGATTCAAGGTCTTGGTGCTTCGGAGGGCGAGGAAATAAAACCTAGTCTCCTCCTCGATGACGCTGCAGTTCAACGCAGTAGTCAATTGCCGCAGGATACTATAACCATCGATTTTAGGACCGTCCGTTTTCATTCTAGTGTTCTTTGATCGTCTTCGCCATGGCCACTGGTGCGTTTCCTTTCTGGTTTCTCGCTCATCCGGCCAGTATAGCGCTATTCAGCTATTTTATGCACAAATATCGTCAATTCTTCTCACTTTTATCGTTTCTTGCCCATCGTTGGACGCTGACTTTTTGCTGTAGAGTACTCTGGCGATCAGCCCGCGCAGTGCAGCGTGCCCAATATCACATTTTCAACCGAACCCTCAAATACTTCCTCCATTAGTGGAGGTCCTACTACTCCCAACACTCCCGTGTTGCTCCTCGCAAGGCATCGTGACCCCCAAGGTGCCAATCCTGTACAAACTATACGAAATACCGGAGACATGGCTCCGGTTTCTGTCCTTCAAAGACCCTCGTCCGCACCCACTTCGCTAGAATCCTCGGCCTCGCCTGCTGTCTCTTCCGCCACGGCCAATCAGTCCGAGCCCGTCACGGTGGATGTCGATTCTTCCATAGTGGAAGCTCTCAAATCATCAAAAGATAGATTATATGTGCTCAAGCTGGGAGAAACGATGGAGAGTCTCATCTCTCAGGGCGTCTTATACGCAAAAGTCGAGTTGCAGCCCGCCAGCTCGTATCAACGGCTTCTTGTCCACCGTTGTGCGGCTTTTTATCATCTCACCCAGGAATCAAGTCAGAATTCAGTCGCTGTCATTGTTACAGCAGACAGTCGCATGTGAGTTCGGAGAAAAAAACTAGCGCCAATCTCAGCCACTTATCATTTTGCACGTAGCCCATCGAAGAGGATAGCCGAGCTTGTCCCTCCAGAAGAGTCGGTTCTCCCAGCCTTTCAGATCATGCGCCGTATCGATCGCTCAAAGGCAGCCTCTCGTGCCACATCCGTCGATGGTAGCTTGACAGACGACGGGGACGAGTCTACGAGGTCTCAGGGAAGTGGATCAAAGAAAAAACAGCATATGACGATGGAAGAGCGGGCGGCCGCGTACAAAGAGGCCCGGTCACGAATATTCATGGATTTTGACGAGAAAGACGCAAGTGCGTCCTCGAATGGCGCCATCAGTTCTGCAGCGTCGACCGTCAGCTTCACTGGTGGTAGTGCGGGAATGTCCAGCGTCGACGGGGATGGAGCGAGTACGGCTCCTACGGAGAGTGAATACTCGGCTCCGGCTGGTCGCGGGAAGGACTCGTGGTATGGAGGGCCATTCAATGGAAGTGACAGTCGAGTCAACCAAATGAGTGGCGGCCCACCCAATACCACTTTACGATCAACTGCCCCTCCTTTCACTAGCCCCAACGTTGCCCCGCCACCACCAACAGGGACCGTTCATTACATTCAGCCGACGGCCGAGTCGAGCGGACATCAGGAAATGGCTAATCACGCGCAAATGCCTCCACCTCCCGGTGCTCCTGCGGTTGGTTCCTTTCCCCCTTATGCCACCCCGGGCATGTATCCCTACTACGTGCCATACATTTATCCGTTCCCTTATCCTCAACCCGTCTCCTTCCAACCTCCTTTACACGGTGGTGCGCCTTTACAAGAAACACAGGGACAGGACACGCAAAACAACCAACAGCAGCAGCAGCAACAACAGCAACAGCAGCCTCACCATCCATCAGGTCCCGTGCCACCTGGGTTTGGTCCTCCTATTGCACATCCCATGCCTGCCCAACCATATCCTGGTTATGTTTGGATGGCGGCGCCAGCCCCAGGCTACATCCCGGTTCCACCGCATACCGGCCCCGTGCCATCTCACCCCAGCACACAGCCGCAGCCTCCCGCGCCCAACTCGAATATTTCGCGGCCCACCAGTCAGGCGTCGCATTTATCATTCGACCCTCGGGCGCAGGCTTCGGGACAAGGCGGGCATTCTCCGCATCCCAATCAGCAGCAGCAACACCAGCAGGTTCACGGTTATGGCGCCTATCACCCGCAGCCTGGTCCTAACGCAATGTCCCCAAATCGTGGTCCCATGCAAATGCAGTCTAGCCCTCCTCCATCCGTGCACGTGAACATGTCGAACCAGCACCAAAATCGGCCGCATTCAATCGCTGCAGGTGCACCTTACCATGGACCAAACGGTTCCATAGGCCAACCTGGTCCAGGGCTTCATGGAAACGGACCATGGGGTAATCAAAATCATCCGGCAAGTCCTCCAAACATGATTGGAACCCCAGTAAGACCCCAAGGAAGAGGAAACATGCTCCCTCCAACGGGACGACAGCCTGGACCTCCAGAGGCCAACTGGATGCCTGGTGCCGCTGGACCTCCTCCAGGAGCACTTGGTTCCAAAAGGGGAGGGCCTAGGACATCCTGGGGCAGCTACTCGTTTGGACCCGGAGTTGGGGTTGGAGGGATGCACACACTAAATCCTGGCGTTGGTGCCGCGGTTTTACGTGCTCCTGAAGGGCTGAACATTCGCGTTTTGCCGACCATTACTTTGGATGGAAATAGTACTGGTAGCAGTAACGGGAGCAGTAGCAGTGCAAGGAAACGGACTTTGGCAAACGGGGCCGCGAATGTCAAGTCACTTGGTGACGAGACTTCTTCAGTGACTGTATGTATACTCGCGCGCCACTGATCCGACAAATACTGATAACCTCGTAGTCTTCGAGCAGCTCGTCTTCGAAGCGGACGTATACGTCAACAGCTTCTTCGCAACCCCCGCAGCATCACCCTCTTCCAGACCGACCAGACTGGGTCATGGGATCGAGGCCCCAACCTGGTGGAGCCATCTACAATCGCTCAAAAGGGACATCGTCAAGCAGTGCTAGCAACAATAGTAGCTCCAGGTCTCTTTTACCCCCTGTGGCTTTGTCAGGCACCCCGTCGCCTGTTAGTAACCCTGGGCAACTCTCATCGGCGTCTAGCTCGACATCGGGAGGTGGTGACTCGTTGTCAAAGGAGTTTCCACCTCTAGGGAATGATGCAAGGCCAGGAGCACCAACCCGTGTAACCCCTGGTGGGGCGTGGAACAATGCGGGCTCCGTTAAGGCTGCCATCGGAGGAGCGGATGGGGTGACGTCCCGAGCTGGTGTTGCCCCTGGAGGCAGTAGCAACACCAGGTTTGAAGAAGCTGACAAGAAGTTTGAGAGGCCACCTATCAAGAGTGGCTCCGCCCTTTTCAACCCTCGATTACCAGGGCCGAGTAGATCCAAGTCGAGAGATGGCTCGCAGGCGACAACAGACGGTCTAACCCGAGCTGTCGCAGCTGTCTCGCTCGAGGACGGAGAACAAAAGGAGCCCCCGTCGGAAGCACCAGATGCTGAAAACGGCGCATTGGTAGTCTGCTGAGGGGGGATTCAGTTGATGACAATAGAGTATCACGGTAAAGGTTTTTGCATAGTATGTCGTATAATAGCATTTGGAGTTTGCGCGCACAATGGGTCTGTTCGCAGCCCCTCTGTAGCATTCTGTGGTTTCTTCGCTTTTGGTTTGTGATTTAGTTAGGAGCTTTGATATACAACGTTCGATTAACTGTCGTGGGTGGTTACTGTGCAAGCGGAGCTCCATGGGCATTGCCAGCTGTAAATTCACCGATTTTTCGTTGTCACGAGCTGCAGAACTATCATAAACCCACCCTCAGCGTCTCAAGCCAGAAAAGTAAAAGATTTAACCCGCACTCGAGCCGCGAAGTTGAAAACTCTGTCAAATTTCATTGTACCGACACTATACTACTAGTGAGTTGAATTATAGACTCCTCCTCCGTTTTTTTTTCACTAGGGTTGGGTGTTTGATTCAATCTGCCGCCGAGCGTCGCAAGTGGCTGGTAGTCGTCCTGATTCAGTACGCGGCTCCGAAATATAAAATAGGAATACTGGAATAATATTAGAATTCAATTTGTGACTTTGTCAATATCTTCGGTGTACAACAGTAGGTATATTCCAGCGGAAGTGACTCGGGATGGCAAGTCGGGTCGTAGCTTTAGGGTATGTAAATTGCCCTAAACAAGCCAAGTTAACCATAGTACTATTAAATCACTTTCATTTTCATTCTGGGACTGTCTACAGAGCTACGACTATTGGGCTCTGTGCCGCTCAGCCAGCCCCGAGCTTTGCTCAGGGCAGGTTTACTCAATTCGGCCTACCTCCCTCAGGCTCAACGTGACTGGACAGGAGTTTGGTCAATCTCCTATGTGTCAGCGCCACAACAGACAAAAGCTAGTACAGGACTCAGTATCCAAAAATGAAGGTTTTGCCCGGATTTGAACCGCAGATAGTGGGATGCTCTCCAGTTAACTTAGCATAGTATGATAACGCAAAATAAGGTTCTAACGTCGTCTGAGCAAAAAGCTGGATGAGGTCCTGCCCGGACTCGAACCGGGGTTAGCGGAAGATCCTGGAGTCAGAATCCGCTATGATAACCACTACATTACAGGGCCCGCGTACATTTAGCGGCATTGTGAACAATTAAGGCCCTTTTTCTCATTTTTCCTGATTTTTCCCGATTTTCTTTCCAACGCCAGCCAGCCAGCCGTCCTCTCCCGCCCCCATGCCCCATGTATCTGCTAGCACTTGTCTCAGCACATCTAGGATTACAATATTTCTCCCTCAGGATTCCCAGCTATTTCTTCGAGCCGCCCACCCATGGCTCAAACCTCATGTAATATCGTTTATGTGTACCAAACCTTGATACATGACATTCTGGCTCTCACTTTTGTTTTCATTTTTGTTTCTCAGCGCCTTCGCAAGTCCCCCAACCAGCTGGTTTGCCTTTGCAACGAACACATAGCCTCTATTATCCTCTGATGCAACTCCACAGCTGTCTCGACCTTACGGCATACAAATCCCGAGAATGCAACTCAAAGCCTTTATATCGTCATATTGGTCTTGCTTGTTTGCCCCGTTACCGGCTGCCAGCCCTTCCTCCTTGCCAGCCATGGACCCAAACTATCTTGCTATAATCCTTCGACCATGTATTCCATACACTTAATTATATCATTCATATCATTCTTGTACTCTCATCTCCAATCTTACTCTCATGCCCATGTTTTTGAATCTTTCTCCATTTCATGAAAACCACCACACGGACAGCAAGACAAGCATGCAAAAGCGAAAGAAAA